CTACACCAACAAGGAAGGTTCACAATAAATGCGTCAGTGGCGCAGAAACAAATGGCGCTATATGATGCACAGGTGGTGGGAGTCACTGCTCCCTAAGGAGACTATTCTATCAGCAGTGAGAGCTGGCTGAGACCCGGAACCTTCTGTTCCAGCCCAGCTCCTCACCAATAAAGAACCAACACCCAGAGAGGCAATGTGGGGTCTCCAAGGTCACCTGTCCACTTGGTGGCGGAGGAGGACGAGTGCTTCTGTCTCCTGACTCTTGGCAGGTGCTCCTTCATCCTCCCTGTGGACCCGCCAAGTAGATCCTGCTCAATTTCATCAAATTTATGGACCGTTCTCAGTTCTAAAATTAGTGTTTTCCCATTCTTTTGGAATGTAAAGGCTTTTTTTTTTTTCAAAAGAGAAAGGTGATAGTACAGGATAGTTAATTTTTTCCAAGGACCTTACTTGGCAAAAAAAAGGTTGGCATGTCTCTGTGGGACTACAACATTAAAAAGAATTACTGGTCTATGAACCCCAAAACCACCTGCCACTAAAGAAAAGGTGAGGTCCCATGAACAACTTCTGGTGTGGTTCATTAATTTGTTGTTTATTTGCTCATTTGTTGACTGAACAACTATTTACTGAGGGCCTCCTATGAGCCTGGCCATATAAAAAGGAACTAACTTGCTTGTGCACCTATGTGCCAGGCACCTCGTTAACTGTTTTACATAAAAAATCCAATTTAATTTTCACAACTGCCACCCTGGAAGGTAGGTGGCATTATTCCCGTCTTGCAGACGAGGACTCAAGGCTCAGATGGAAGTAGTAACTTGCCCAGTGTCCCCAGCTAGGCAACAGCAGACTCCAGGTCCCACGCTCTCTCTGGACTCTGTGCTTCCTTCTTATGCATAAATGGTTCAGAGTGATAAATGGGGGAAGCCAAGTGAGCATGCAGGTAGGGCTAAAGCGTCCAGGGAGCTGAGCAGGGGGCTGGGGTCAGGTGCTGGGGCAGAGGGCTGGGGCGGGGCACTCACCATTGAGCAGCCAAGTGATGTGGGGTACCGGCGTCCCCTGCACCAAACACTGCAGCACAAAGTCCTGGCCCTCAGTGACGGTGCAGTCCTTCAGCACACTGGAGAACGAGGGGGCCACCTCCATCATGGCCAGCCCTGCGAGGGCAAAGAACAGACAGGCCATCTCAGATCACAGCTGGCCCGCTCTGGTGACTGACCACAGTCCCCCAGAGCCTCACAGGCAGACGCCTTGCACTATCTTCACACCTGGAAGCAGGCAGCACCACCGGTGTAGAGACCTAGAGCCTGAGGCAGAGTAACCAGCAGGGGCTTTTCACTGTCACAAAACACCCCAGGTCTGGGCGCACTCAAGACCCGGGGGGGCCTGCCTCCCCTCTTCGGGGACTCGGGCACCTCCTGGCAGTCTTGACTTCGGCTGTCCTGGAGCATCCCCAGAGCTCCTTCTCCCCCCTTTCTTGGTCCTACTCTACTTTCTAGTGTCTTCTAGATTCTTTAATATGTTCCACTGGACCCCGCACAGTCTTGTGAATATCTTTTTACTTGTAGAGACCACATGCCCCCTGGTGAGGATGTTTCAATCTTAAATTATCCTAATTATTTTTTCCAATTCCAGGACTGAATCAAATGACAAAGACTCATATGTGTTCTAGTTTTCCCACCTAGGTCAATGGTTCAGAAACGTGGGGGGCCTGGGACTATGCATTACTGAGTTCCCCCATGATTCTGATGCACACTCCAGTTGAGAACCACCAAGCTGAACTTTCCAAAAGCCTTCTACATTGGTGAATTGGGGAGCAATTTGTAGTTTGGGGGCCTTAATTAAGAGCAATAGTGATAGATAATCTCTTCTACAACATCCCGAACATGCTGCAGAAATATCACAGTGGTTGATGGCTGGGAAAGGTAACTGGATTTGGTGATTAGAAGACAGCTCACCGCGCTTTTCAAGAGAAGCTATTCAATACGGTGATGAGGAGAAAGCCATATTATATTGCAGGGCTTTAAGGGCAAAAACAAATAGTTGGGGGCTTGCTATGTGCCAGGCACTTTTCCAGATGTGACTGTGACAATGCCATGAGGTTGCTCTCTTTAGCTCAGTTTACAGAGAAAGTTAATAACTTCCCATAGCCCAGCACCATGGAGAAGCCCGGCTTTACGCCCAGCTCTCTGCCTCTACGTCCACACTTCCTCCTCCAGACCAGAGCTCCCCTAAGGAGAGAGTAGGCAGTGGGAGAGCAGCACCATCAGAATGATGATGCATCTGAATGGGACTGACACTGAGGGACAGGATGGACAGACAACCTCGAGAGGTGTGGGGAGGCACCACCTCCACCCCTTCCCCTGGCCAGCGTCAAATTCCCTCATTAGAGAAACGCCTTGGGGAGTCATTGAAAAGAATATGCGCTTGAAAGTAGGAGCTTGGAGCTTAAGGGGCATCTGTGCAGACGGAAGATTTTCTCTCCTTTGTCAGGGTAGGGAACACCAGAGCACGCTTGCAGGGAGAAGAAAGAGGTCTCTAGATACGGGAAGGGAGGAGATGGAAGAGATGGTGGGAGAGTAAGTCATTATTAGACACGGTCTTTGTGGAGATGGGGAGGGATGGAAAGAGAAGTCTGGGTAAGGGAAGCAGACAGCTTTTTTGCAGTGACAGAAAAAAGAGAGAAAGAGGGTATTGCAGAGAAGATAAAGAACTACATCCCATGACTTGCACCTTGGTGAAGTCACCAGGAGAAGTTTTAGAACAGCTAGTGTCTCCAAGAAGAAAGGGAGTCAAGAAGCACTTCTGGAACGGTCGAGTGAGGATTTCTGAAAATCCACTCCTTGTACAAGCCACAAGAACACTGGCAAAAGTCATCAAGATCAACTTTTTCAGAACTCTGGACATTAACCAAAGGCTTGCAACATTCTAAAGAGCATTCATTCAAAAACAAACAGACAGAGGAATCTTGGTAAGAACCGCAAGCTTTGTGGCAATCTCAATTCCCATCCCCCTCGCCTCAGCTCTTCGCTAGCTTTGAAAATCAACATTCTCTTTCACCCCCGACTTGTTGCAAGTATAGTCTCTGTGCACAGTTCCATTTAATAATAACAGCTAGCACTCCAACAAAAGTTTGGTGGACACGATGCCACGTGTGTGTCCCCTGCCCTGACACACAGCCTGGATGATGAGACTTGGTTGGGCTCCTGGACCTGTGAACTCTGCCTGCAGGCACTCCTACCTCCACATGGAATGAATAATATTCCTTGCAAAGGCATGAACATGGAAAAATCCCAATTAAGAAGTGAGTCAACAGTATATAGTGAGAAGTCAGACTACCTCCCACCCCTTCCTATGGACTCCCAGTTTCCCTTCCTAGAGGCAACTTGTGGAACCTTCCAGAAATATTTTATGCACACACAGACATCTGTTTGCATATATATACATAGATTTTTTTTCCTTTTATGCAAATAGCATATGACACACACGGCTTTTCTCTCTTACTAACGTTATCTTGGACATGTTTCACCATCAGAGTCTACAGGTCAGCCACATTTGTTTTACAGGCTGCACGGCATCCTGCTGTCTGGATGAACCACTAAGTTCTTTTCTTTTCCTTTCTTTTTTTTGAAACGTTTCTTATTATAATAAATTTCAAACACACACAAAAGTAGAGAAAGCAGTGTAGTGAATCGTCATATATCTGTTTCTCAACTTTAATAATTATCAACTCATGGCCAATCTCATTTCATTTACACCTCCACCAACTCCCACCATCCATGGATTATTTCTGAAGCAAGCATCAGAAATCATATCATTTCACCAGTAAATAACTCAGTTTACATCTCTAAAACATATGGACTTAAAAAAATAACCACAAGACCATCATCACATCTTAGAAATAGCACTAATTCCTTTATATCAAATATCTTACCAATGCTCAAATTTTCCTGATGTTCTCATATGATTTTTTCAAAGGTGTCTCAATCAGGATCCATGCAAAGTCCATGTATTGCAATTGTTGATGTCGCTTACGTATCTTTTCATCTAAGTGCCCTCTAGCTTGTCCCTCCCTTCCTCTCTTTGCTTGTAGTTTATTTATTGGAAAAAAAATAGGCAAAGGTTATTTGTCCCACAGCGTTTCCAACAGCCTGAAATTTGCTGACCCTATCTCTGTGGTTTAATATGTTCCTCAATAGTCTGACAGGGGTCTAGGGTCCCCAAATAGCATTTAAAGTGAGGAGGAAACTTTATAGAGCGATAGATGGGTACAAGGATATTTATCACAGTTTTGTTACCATAGTGAAAAAATGGAAACAACCTAAATATTCAACAAAAAGAGGAGGCCTAAATTAGATACATTATTCTATGAAATATTACATGGCTATTAAAACTCATGTTTTCAAATAATATTAAATAATATAGAAAGAAATAGTATGGAAAGATACTTTTGTAACATGCTTATGTAACATGAGCAAATTAGAATAGAAAGCAGTATACAAATAGTACAATGGCAATTTTGTTTTAAAAACATTAAAATATCATTTATTTCTGAGTCATAAGATTACATATTGTTTAAATTCCCCACCATGAACATACATTACTTTTATAAGCAGACATTACAAGAAACATAAAAGATGTGGGATCCCACATCATCTCACATTACTCTAAAGGCATATATTTAGTGAATATTTGGTTCTCTGTGGTTACGAAGGGGGGATACGGCTGAGGAACAGCTGCCCTGGGACAGCTGAGGAACCTAAAAAAGACAGTTCTCAGCTGGGCTGGGCCTGGGGCCTGGGCATGTTTATTTTGAGGTGATTCTGACATGAATTCCTCATCAGGAATCACGTCCTGGAGCAATGACTTTGGTCTTGGCATGTGGGTGGGGATGATGTTTCTGTTCGGTTGTACACTCTGGGCGGGGGGCTGTAGGAGATGACACTTGTGCAGCGTATGAGCACCCCATGAGAACCCAGGGTGACCTGGAGGAGTGTACTCACTTTTCACCCGGAGGGTCCAGCCACAGGACACCTGGCCTCGGACGTTGGAGGCTGTGCAGCTGTAGTTCCCGCTGTCCCTCACCCGGGCTCTCGGCAGGGAGAGGTAATGGGATCCGCCATCTTCATAAACCTCAATGGAGCCTTCTCGTCTCCTCACGGGGGCACCTTCCAGGAACCAGGTCACTTCGGGTTTCGGGATCCCTGAAACTACAGGGCCAGGTGAAGAATGTGAGGCCCCTGGAAAGCACATTGGGCTTATGAGGCATGGGGGGCCTGAACCCCAGGGAAGAGCTCAGTCTGGTGTGCAGCTGCTCTCCTGGTTGAGTGCCCTCAACCCTCCACTCCACAAGAGTAAACATCTCAAGACAGAGGTAGGGTACTTGGGGACGAGGGATACAAGGGTGACAAGCCAGGTCCCCAGAAGCCAAAGCCAGCAGAAGAGATGAAAGAGAAGGAGACCCTATGTCTTGTTTTGTGATGGTGATGGTGGTAATGGGTTTCCCCCTCTAGGGTGGTAAGAATTAGGGTACAGGGTCCACGATCTATCCAACAATGAACACGGGGCTACTGTTAGGTGCTTCTCCAGAACGAGGGACATTACTAGACTGAGTCTTTCCTCAGGGAAGACCCCTGTGGGGTGGCTTCCTGGGGGTAGGATGGGGGTCTAGTTCGAGAGGATGAGTGGATACAGGAGGCTCAGACCACTGTGCTGAAGGGAGGGAGCGGCCACCCAGGGGCTACACTGTGGGGTCCAGTGACCTTTGTTAGCTCTACTCACCCTCACATCTGAACTTGACTGTTTGATCTTCATTGACTTCCTGGCTTTGGGGCTTACTCTCGAATTTGGGGAATGTTGAATCCCTCCAGCTCTCCACGGGGATTTTCCTGGTAGCAACCTTGCTCACAGCTTCTTGGCTTCCCAGGCCAGACTGCCTGGTGGGGAGGGTGCCTGGAGGGGGAGCAGCTGGTCTCTCTTTCTCTTCTCTGGAAGGAGAGAGGGCGCCCGAGACCGGTGCTCTTGGTTCTGGCTGGACTTTTGCAGCCTGCAGGGTGATGGTGCTGGAAGTCTTCTGCAGGACGGGGGTCCTCAAGGCCTTTCTAGGTGAGTCCTCAGGCTCCAGCCTCGATTCCCTCAGGGGCTGAGGCTGGCTGCCTGTGGCCCAGGCAGGGGAGCCCCCTCGCTGGGTGCTAGAGCAGTTTTTACGTTCAGCTGCAGGTTCCAAGGTGTCCAGTGTTGGCCCCTGCGTGAATCCATTGGTCACTTCCTTCCTGATATCTGAATTGGCTGCCTTTGTTTCTCTCACAAATGACCTGTTGGTGGTCGGTGGGGCAGGGAGGGATGACAGGGGGGAAGGAGAAGGAGGAATAGAATGATCACCTGCTTATTCACAAGCATTACTCATCACAAGCAGATTCCGGAGATCACAAAGCCCGCAATTAAGAGAGAGAATAAGAGCAAAAGTCTTTCTCGGCAGCTTTCTCAGTTTCAAGCCAGAAACATGCAGTCATTCCTGACACTTCTCTGTCCTGCATCCCCAGGCCAGAGCCTGTTCTATCCACACTTATTAAATCCACCTCTTTTCTCTTCTCCATGAGCACTGCCCTAATTCAAACCACACAGCCGGTTTCCCCTGGTCACGCTTGCCCTCTCTCATCCATGTTCCACACAGCCAGCACGGTCAATCTTCTATAAACATAAATCGAATCATGTCGTTTCAAGCTTAAGGATTTTCCAAGAGCTTTCCCACTATATTAAGAATAAAGCTGAGCTTCTCGAGACGGCCTGCAAGGATGCAGCTGGCTCGGCTGCCTCTTTTTTTTTTTTGCTGAGGAAGATTTGCCCTGAGCTAACATCTGTTGCCAGTATTCCTCTTGTTTTCCTCTTATGTGAGCCTCCACCACAGCATGGCTGCTAACAGACCAGTGGTGTAGGTCTGTGCCTGGGAACCGAACCCAGGCCGCCAAAGTGGAGTGCGCCAAACTTAACCACTAGTTAAGGGGCTGGCCTGCTCCAGCTGCCTCTGGAACCTCTGTTGCCCATCAGGCTGCAGCCACATGGGTGTTCTTTTGGGATCCCCAGCACCCACCTCTCATCTCACTGCTTTTGCCCATGCTGCCCCCTCTATTAGAATGCTTTCTCCCTGAGCTTTTCTTCACTCCTCACAGGCCTGAGCTCAAACGTCAAGTTTTCAGAAAGGGTTTCTCTGACCCTCTAATCTACATTAGCACTTCTCTGTTATTCTTCCTTATAGATGCATCACAGTTTGTAATCGTATATTCATGTGGCTCTGCTTAAAGCCCTTCTCTGCACTAGACCTCTGCTCACCCCGCATACCCAGAGTCTAGCACTGAGCCTCGCACACAGGAAAGGAAGCCCCTGATGAAGATGTGCTGGAGGAGCGAGTGGATTCTGGCCTGGAACGTGTAAGGCACCCTTTCCAGAGCAGAGTGCCCTTCCTAACTAGTAAAGATACTGAGCAGATACTGAGCAAGACGACAGCATTGGGTCTCAATACTGATGGCAAGCCTCACATGTTACAATAGGAGAACAAAAAAAACACCCCAAAGAAGACAACTTCCCCAAACAGTCAGCTCTCCCTCCCTTTCTGGTGACTCAGAAATTCAGGGCATTTTTCAATTACAGTCCCTCTTTTCCTGCAGGACATTTCAATGGAAACATAATAATCACAAAGCCTAGACATACCTATTGGTGTTCTCCAAACCTGGAAAAAGGGAGAAGGGTAGAAAGACTGTTAGTGGAATATTTTACACACTGAGGAGACAGTGATAAGACAACAATCTCATTTATTACAGAGTTTTTACTCCCTGAGCTCTCACTGGCCCCCTCACTGTGGTCCCACCTCCCTTCCCCTTCCAGCTTCCCTGGTCCTGGACTTTTTGGGTTAATCTGATAAACTCCTTGGAGTCCTGGAGACACTGTCAGCACTTCCACTGCTGCCCTGGCCCTTTTATAGGGGCCTCTGCTACCGTACCCTGTGGCCTGTCCTGGTCAGCAGCCTATAGATGGAAACAAAACCCATCGAGGGACAAACAAAACAAAAAGCCACTGAAAATTTCAGTTTAACTTCCATGTGGCCCTCAAAAACAAACCCCCAAAGGGATCATTTCTGACAAATACCTGCTTTAAAAATGTACAGGGAAAGTGTAATTTTATTCAATTCTTCAAAGAAAAAACATACAATATATATTTTTTCCTGCCAAATTATTTTTTTTAAATTTTATCATGGAAAATTTCAAAATATACAATAGTAGAGAGAAGGATATAACAAACTTTGAAAGCCATCACTCAGATAAGGAAATATCAACATTTGCCAGCCTTATCTATCTCTTTTGGTTTTGGTTTTTTTTGAGGGGCTTTTTCTGGGGCTATTTAAAACAAATCCCAGGCAACATATCATTTTGTCATTTGGTACTTGAGGAACAAACAGGTCTTAATTCAATGCTCGGACAAGTAAAGGGAGGGAGACTAAAACACTCCCCTCAGCGCCTAACAGCAGGTCCCAATCCCGCAGTGAGCTGTGAAGTCGGATCCTTCAGTCAGGACGAGGCTGTTTTTTCCCTTAATGGTGTAGAATAGAATAGAAAATACCAGCATGTACTGTACATAGCACAATGCAGGACTGTTTCATGAAACTGGTTTCAGTTAAATATGTTTATATACATATGTGTGTCCCGGGTTGCAATGTAGAATCAATTTCTTTCTGTGGGTTGTGAAACACTTGGGCCAAAAAATGCTAATGAGAGCAAGGAGGAATAGTTTCTGAGAAAGGAAGGAGATGTGGAAGAGAAATGTCATAGAAGAAAAGAGGGTAAGACAGGAGGAGGGGAGAGTGAAGGCCGTGTCCCCCAAGATCCTCAACTCCCACCCTGATCAAGGTTCCCGCTCCCATGAGGTGACATTAATCCCCTTCCCCGGCCACATGCTCCAGCCTCCCCAGGCTGGACTTGGCAGAACCAAGGGGAATGTAAGGAGGAGACATGTTCAAAGAGATTTCAAAGGAAAAACCAACAGAGGTTGATGATGACAGCAGGGGTCAAAGGTGACACTGAAATATCCAGTCTGGGTGAGAAAGAAAACGAGGAAACTGGGGTGGGAAGAGTTAAGTTGAGGGACACCTGATTTGAAGGACAGAGTGGACGGTGAGTTAAATTTTAGGCAGGTTAAATTTGGGGTGATGGCAAGACATTAGCAATGTCCACTCTTCCAATTGGCAATTAGAGATACAAAAAGGGAGTCTGAGCAAGAAGACTGAAGACAGAGGTATGGGACAGAGTGTGGGGACACAAGTAAAGCATCTTCCTCTGTGGCCGAGTCTGTGCTGCCGCCCACTTCCTTTCTTCTGGTTCAAGACCCTGCCCCGGGGAACGCATGGGTATGTAAGAGGGATACGTGTAACACACAGATGCGTAACGAACAAGCAGCTCCTTCTAGTAAGGATCGTTCTGCACGAGCCTCTCCCACCAGTTGATACCTTGGATGGAAAGCTCAGCTGACATGGAGGCCTTCCCTGACCCGTTCACCACCAAGCACGTGTACACTCCCACATCATCTTGGTTGACCTCATGGATTTCCAGAACTTGCATCCCATTCTTCTCAGACATAGACACACGGGCACTTGGCTGCAGGGGAACATCTCCCTGTGGATGGCAATAGGGTAGCTTCATCAGGGAAACCTGCTCACCTTTTGGCACTGTCCTCCTACCTCCTGCCAAGCCTGGTGGGACAGACATCAGGCATGACAGCAGAGCCCTCTGCTCTGGGCTCTGTCAACATGCTCAGAGAGCAGTCTTTGGATAACCCAGGGGCACTGACTCGAGGTCCATGCATGCTGTGTGGTGTATGTTCCAGCTTAGAGCAGACATATGGAACCTGTTTCAAAGGAGCCCTAGATTGTGGGAAGTCCTATATTTCTCACTTTAGTTCTCCTTTGCCTCCATCTTCCTTTTATTCTTTTCCCTGGGTCAGTTCAGGAGAATTAGGAAATAGATAACAAGTGTCCCATCGCTCATTATTTTATTTTATTTTTTGGTGAGGAAGATTGGGTGAGCTAGCTAACATCACTGAGCCAACATCTCTGCCAATCTTTCTCTATTTTTTGTATGTGGGATGCTGCCATAGGATGGCTTGATGAGTGGTGTGTAGGTCCGTGCCTGGGATCCAAACCCCAGGCCGCCGAAGTGAAGCATGCGAACTTAACCACTATGCCACTGGGCCAGCCCCTCTCATCACTCATTTTTATTCAGGAGTTCCATCTGTGAAAAACCTACTCTTCCTGGCCTTGACCCCAAGAGTCCCCGATGGCTCCTCACTGCCCTGTTTAACATCCCCCACCACCACCTCCACTTCCCCCTCCCCCACCTCCTCCTCCTTCTCTGCCTTCACATTGCCCAGCCCTGAATGATTTATAAAGCACTTCCATATGAAGCCTCTCAACAGTACTTTGAGGTAGGTGGGATGATCTCTGCCTCACAGATAAGGAAACCAGGGTTCCAAGAGATCAAATGACTTGCCCAGTATCACATGCTTTGTGAACCAGGTTGCTGTGGCTTGAAACCTAGACCCATGACTTCAAATTCCACTCTCTTGAGATGTCAGGTCTGTGTTGACTCAGAAGTTTTATGCTCTTTTGTGAGTGTGTGGATTATGGGACTCTGTGGAGGGAGTGACAGAGGGAGAGTGTGCAAACAGAGGCAAGAACAAGCATGGCTATCAAAGATACAGAGCACCCTCGAGAACCATCTACTGAAACAGAAGGGACCGACTGGAAAGGCAGACTCCCACTAGCCCAAGGGTCTAACCCTGAACTCTCTGGGGCCCCAGACCTGGGCCAGAGTCAGGGCAGACAAAACCTCACCTTGAGCCAGGTGACCTGTGGTTGGGGCCGGCCAGTGACCTTGCAGGAGAATCGTCCCATCTGTCCTTCTTTGACCACGGCTCGGCCCAGCTTGGTAGCAAACTTCGGTGGGCACTCTCCCCAGATGCTAGGACGGGTCTCCACTGGGGGTGCTGTGAATCTGTCCCTGGAAAGAAATCAGCAGAGAACCCAGCAGCAATTCAGATCCTCTTCTCTCCGCAACACCCTCCCACCCAAGTCACTTAAGTTGGGGTCAGAAACCAGCCTTTGGTTTCCTTTGGCAGCCTTCCCAACTCTATGCCTCAAACACATTTCTGATGCACCCTCTGGAAAAATCTGTGGCACCAAAACCTATTTCCTCTACCTCCTGGCCATGCAGCTAGACTCCATTTACTAGCCTCCCTTGAAGTAAGGTATACCTGAATTCTACTGAGCTCTGGCCAAAAGCCTGGGTTTTGGCCTAGAGACTGCAAGCAGAAGAGCTGTATGCCATTTCCAGGGTAAACTCAGAAAAACCTCCTGTGAGATTCTCCACACTCTTTCTTGCCCACTCTTCTGGCTAGATGCAGAGGGTTGAGCAGAGGCTCTAAGGCCTAGGAGATGATGGAGCCACAAAATGGAAGGAGCCTGGGTCCCTGAAGGATAATGGGAAGGTTCTCCACCTGTTCAAGCATATCTGAATCGACTTTGCTTGAGCAAGAAATAACTTTTCCTGTGTTAGCCATTGGGATTTGGGGGCCTGTCTGTTATAGCAGCTACTGTTACTTACCCTTACTAATCCTGGTTTACTCTCCATAAGAAGTGTCCCATATTGATGGCCTCTTCGAAGTCTACTTATTTAAGTCTTCTGACTATTGCCTTGATTGTTAGAGATCCCTGCAGATTATGGTCACACAGCCCACTTCCTCAGCATTTAGCAGCTGGACCAGTCAAAGGGGCTATGCACAGAGGCCACCAGGTTGGGAGGCGCTGTGTTAATGACACATCACATCCCAATAGGCTTCCGCTTTAGCTATTTTAACCCAGGATGCCCAAGAAGATGTACTCCCTACACGTGTTCTGTCAAGTCAGCAGGAAAAGCCAATCCAGTGCATCCCTTGGCTTGAACATCCCAGAACTTACCCCAAGGTTTTGGAAACAATAGGCTGACCATGCTTCTTCACAAAGGCCCCTGCAAGTGGAAAACAAAGAGAAAGAGGCTTGAAGGTTCAGGTCTGAGCCACCAACTTGGAGCAACAAAAGTCAGGAAGTGTCAGCAAGAGGGGTGGAGTGAGATAATGATGGAAAGAGGGCACCTTGCCTGAGCCCTAGGGGGGTCAGGCACCATGGGGGGCATGTTACATACATCGTCACATGGATTTCCTGCAACAACTTAAGGCAGCTGGTATTACATCATCCTTCTATTTTTAAACAGATGAGAAAAATGAGATTCAGAGAAGTTAAGTTGCCCTCTTGAGTCACAGAGCCAGCGCAGGAATGCATCCAGCCCTGCCTGTTCTAGAACACTCAACTGTTCCACTGAGCTGTTAAATGCCACAGGACTTTCCATTTTGGGGATTAACTGTGGTGACCCACGACCTCTCCAGAAAACGACCCAGTTGAAGGGAGGGAGGGAGATGAGCATGCATCCCTATTATCACGTCTGTTCATGTGTGACACAATCAACACTCCATCCTTCTACTTAAGGCCCAGCAGATAGCAATATCTGTCCTGCTGGCATGGAGCAGATCACTGGAGATGAGCTACCGTGGAACCAACACCTCACCAGAACCTGCACCAGCAGCACACTGGGCACTGCTGGTCCTGGGTGAGGTGCTGCGGTGCTGGATAGGAAGCAGTTAAATAGCAAACCCAGCAAGGCAGCTGGGTCAGCTCCTTTTATCCAGCTGCTGCTCCTGGGGAGACCAACTCATACTGTGACCAGGAAGTGACTGTAAAGTGGTAGGGTATTTCTGAGGAATAGGGTGGGGGGAGAGGAGGACATTTTTGAGATGGTGATCAGCCTAGAAGTTGTTCTCTTTTTGCCACAAGCTGAAAATGTTTATAAAACCCCACCCAAGGCACACATAGAAAGGGTAAAAGTCATTCCCTGACATCAGCAGGCAGCTGCAATGGGAGATTTGCAGGGTGTTTACAGGAAAATGGTGAACTGCCTTAAATTCGGGAACCGACCACATCTACGTGAATGCATAGGAACATAGGAATGGAGGACAAAGAGCATGGTATTTCCCTTGGCCACATCTGGTTCAAGGTTTCACCAGAACCTTAGTGAAAAAGGATTAATAACAAACACCAGCATCACATTGAAGCTGTGGTTCCACATGGATTGGCAATTATTGTACATGTATTTCTGTTTAACATAACTATTTAGTGAGCTGTGTATATGTTTTCATTCCATAATGCGGGTTGGGTTCTTGTCATTCAATTTTCTGCTCAAGGTTAAAAGAACTTTTAAGCTGATAAAAGGAGAGACCTGTTCTGGGAGGACCCAACTGACAATTACAGTCAAGATGCAGGGGCCCCTCAGACACTGCTGGAGGAAGTGCAAACCAGTCAGTCCTTTAGAAAGTATTTGAGCAAATGAGAATCAAGCTCTGAAGATGCTCTGCTCTTAGACCAGCACCTTCCTTTCTGTGCTTCCAGTCAAAGGAAATGATGCTAAAAGTAGAAACAAAGTTTACAAAGCTGTTCACTTTGGTCTTGTTTATAATAGTAAAAATTGGAAACAATGTAAATGTCACACAGTAGGAAGACAATAAGCGGTTAAGTAAAATGTAGGATTAGACAGCTTATTCTGCCATCAAATTATGTTTAAGAATATATGAAACACGCAGAAATATGTTAAAATATTATCTCTTTGCTCCTCAGCACACTCCAATTGGGCTGTGATCCTTGACACTCCACTGAGCTCCATCCTGACCACCATCTTGCCAAACCCAATCGTTAAGCCTCTTGTTGTCTCACTCAGTAGCACTTGACAAGAGGGGCCACTGCCCTTCAAAGCACTTTCTCCTCCAGACTCTCCTGCTTTTCCCAGGTTGCCTACTCTTCCTCAAACTCTTTCTGTGTTTGACCCTGCATGTGGGAGTCCCTGGCTGAGTCCTGGGGCCTCTCCTCAGTGCTATCGACTCTCTCCCAGGAGGTCTTAGACAGTCCCACCATATCATCTACAAGCTGATGACTCCCAAACCACATCTCCACCAGAAGTCTTATTCATGTATCAGCGGTATCCAGAACAGTGCCCAGAACATTGTAGGTATTCAAATATTTGTTAAATAAATGAATTTTATGAAAAAAAGAGCAGCATACAAACTTTTCTATTCAATGTGATCATAATCAGGTAAAAATAAAATAAAACACCCAAACATAGGAAAACGACCAGAAGAAAATGTATCAAAATGTTATTAATAGCGATTGTTTTTGGGTGGTGGGACTATGAGTAATTTTATTTAGCTCTATTTTCTAAAACCTATAAATACACTGATAAGGAAAAAACAAAACATGCTCTAGTTACCAAAAAAAGCAAAAAAACATTGGGGGAGTTGGAGAAAGAAAGTAAAAAAGGGAAAAAGATTCTGGCATCCAAACAGGTGACTAGGGCCTCTTACACATGCTCTGTATCACAGCACTAGCCACATACCCAATCACTAAGACCCCTAAAAATATCCACGTACCAGTCACTGTACTTATGAAGCTATCCATGTACCAGTCACTGTACTTATGAAGCTATTGTATCACTCATTTCATCTTGGAGTAAAGATCTGATAAAAATTAGACTGATCAATTGAGGAATGGATAAATAAAATGTGGTCTATCCACACAGTGAAATATTATTCAGCAATACAAAGGAATAAAGTAATGAAACACGCCACAACATGGATGAACCTTGAAAAAATTTGCTAAGTGAAAAAAGCCAGACACACAAAAATGTATGATTCCATTTATACAAAATGTTCAAGAGAGGCAAATCCACAGCGACAGAAAGCAGATTAATGGTTGCCAGGGGCAGGGGGAGGGTGGATGGGCAGTGACTGCTTGATGGGTATAGGGTTTCTGTTGGGGTTGATGAAAAGTTCTGGAATTAGACAGTGGTGATGGTTGCAAAACATTGTGAAGTACTTAATGCCACTTTAAAACGGTTAAAATGGTAAATTTTATGTTGTGTGTATTTTACCACAATAAAAAAACTAAACTAAGCGTCTTTAAAACTCTTGGGAGCTAAAGATCTTAATCCAAAGGCTAAAATTCCTTAAAAGATAAAATAAAGCAAAAATATGGCATTTCCTCAAAGAATAGCAAAAGAATGCCGTTTAGAGATACTTCTTTATCAGGGTAAGAGCAGTTTATGGTATGATCCAAAGGTAACACATAAAGCAGGCAGCTAAAAATGGAAATTGAGGAATGCAGATTTCAATGTGAGTTAGCACCAGAGAGTTTACACAGAAACAAAAAGAGAATTTGGGCTAAAATAACTAACAGGGTCTATTTATAGCCAAAAATTTGAAGTTGCAAATTGTCAGATAAGGCAACATTAATTTTGTGAAAGTATGAAAATCTGGCAGAACAGTAAGGCTATGCAGAAAAATAAGTGGAAAGGGGATTAAGGTAGAAATGCCAAAAATAGAAGAGTAAGTCAAGAGAACTGGTGAAGACAGGATCGAGTGGAAGGAAAAAGAGGCCACGGCATTGAAGGTATTTAAACAGTTGTCTTGGATTTTCCAGGACAGTGAAAGACAATGCTGGCAGGTTTTAGGAGTGAAAAGTTCAATAGCGGAGGGACCTAGCTAGCACTTTTTGTCAAAGGATATATATGGAAAGACTGAGTTGAGACAGAGAATGCTGCTGAAAAGCAGAATAATGTGATCAAGATGGTAAGGAGAAGAAATGCTTCTAAAAATGTGTGATGATAAACTTTATCATCCAAACAGGGACTTTTGACACTGACAGGGATGTAATTAATAATTCTCCCAGGTCAACAGGAGTAAACCAGGACTGCTCCAGGCAAACCAGGGTACAGTCACCCCACTGTGGGCAACGTCAAAGTGGATTTTAAGGATTGCTTAAAATAGTGGTTCTCCACTCGATCAGAACAAAGGCTCACTTTTTATAACAGATACTTAGCAATGCCCCCTGTACCATCCTGAATTGAAATTTTCTGCTAACTACCCATATAAATAATTTCAAAAAGAAAATAAATGTAAAGACCTAGCTAAAATATTAAGGAGAAATAAAAGGAAAGTAAATTATAATAATATTTATTTCAGTATGTAAATATTCAAGCATGACTATTTCAACATGCAACTGCTCAGGCACGTTAGAAGACGTAATGAAATGGTCAGATGCTTGCACGGACTCACGTGCAGGTTTGGATGTAAAAGTAAATGATCAAAAAATGTACCGTACAAGTAGTACAGGAAAAGGAAAGAGCACAGTTGTATAGGTAGACTTCTAAAAAATAAAAAGGCTAAAAAGTAGTGTTAGCAATGTTATATGTCAATTACAGCTCAATAAAGAGAGAAAAAATGAAAAATAATAATATAGTAAAAAAAAAAAAAGTAGTGTGAACATAAACAACAGAGCAGACATGTTACATAAAAAAGGAAGAAAGAAACAGCCTTAAAAGAAGATAACATAGCAAGACAAGTTACAGACCACTTAAGTAGAGAAAATGAAAAAAAAAAAAAGACTGTAAGTGTACCGTGAAAACAATTTTCTGTTTTATGAGATGGGATCTTTGAGATCCCTACCTTTACTAAAATACTGTTCAGTCTCTATTATGCAAAAGGCATTAGACAGAGCTTCAACAAATACACTGATGTGTATAGTAAAAGCTTGAATAAAATATGAGCCTCAAGAGAAAGGCAAAGGGCTTCAGAGATGGGAGAGAGGACATGTCGCAGAGTCTGTTGAAGGTTGTAAGTTTCAGTTTAAAGGCAACAGTAGATCACTGGAGGATTCCAAGAGGAGTGATAAAATCCCAACTGAATTTTTTTAAAAGATATTTTGAACAACAAGGTGGAGATTAGAGTGGGGTACAGTGGAACTGGAGAGACTAGTTGGGAATTTGTCCAACAGGAAAGAGATGATGGCAGCCAGGACAGGATGGTGGCAGTGGGGACAAATGAGAACTGCACGGGAGATGGCACAGCAGGATGTGATGACTGACTGGGG